TTGGCGTTCTCTTGGGGCCCGACGTCACGATCCAGATGCAGTGGGGCGCTGCTCGGATGAAACTAAAGTTACGTGCTAGGCTCCTTGGTTCCGGCTCCGCTCCCTTGGGGATCAACGGCGTGCTCTACCGATCGAGAGCCCTCCCTGTCTTGTCCTACCTGGCCCAGTTCTTCCCTCTGCCTCCCAGGATGGTCGCTTTCGAGCTCTCGGTGCTTACCCAGGTATTCCGTGCTCCCATGGGTACTCTGTCTGCCTCTGGCTGGGCCCAGCTCTCTGCGTGGGGTGGCCCCAAGATCCCGCTCGCGCAGCATGCGTGCGCTGCTGCGCTGTCTCGAGCTGCCACCATTACGTTCAGCGAGCATACCCACATACGCTCTAACATTACTAACACTACTCTTTCATGGAATGATGATCGACTGCAGGGACGGTTTGATGATGCTTCCATCGCGGCCTGTCGCACTCGGGTGGATTGGATGTGTGACGCTGGACGGCACTGGCGGCTGCCGCCCATCCTGCAGACCTATTCCTGGCTGCGTCAGGGCTCTGCGTGTGCTGGCTACCCCTCAGACATTCTACGCTGTTGTACGTCTGCGATTGCTTCGGAACTATTGGTCACGGGACGTAAGCTCAAATTTCAGAGAGCAGCCACCACAGCACTATACGAGCAGTTCGTCACACCGTTCCCGTTGAGCGCGATCTTCGAGACCAGGCTGGCACGCTACTTTGCCATGTATGAACCCTTCTTACATCGGGCGCCGTGGGAAGCGATTCAGATGCTGCTGCAGCTGCTGCCCACGAGCTGGGTCTTCCCTGTTATCAAGACGTGGGCCTCCGCTTGGCTCACAAGTTATCGAATAAGTTACCCTTCGGGGAAACGGCGGTGCATCTTTGGGTGTAACACTTGTGCGGACAGGCAGTGCCACTACATGCGGTGCCACCGTCTGGTTCGTGCTGTCGGCCGCGCACTGGGTCGCTCACTTCCTGCCTTTCTTCATGAGCGTCTGTGCCTGACGGCGCCGTGTGTCGAACGGGTGGAGGAGCTGGTGGTGATGTACACTACGTATCACACAGCTCGTTATCGCGATTGGGTTACCCCTACTGTTCTGAACTCTGCGACTCGGGCTGCTGTCAGAACTCTTCGAATGGCGTCTCCAACAGACCAGCTGGAAAAGAAATGGAAGCCGCCGCCGTCCTTCATACCGACACCGCGCACGGTCACCGATGATCTTTCCACCTCCTCGGCAGACGACCCCGACGTCGACCATGCCGTTCTGGCTGCTGGTGATGGTGAGGACGACTCCGACGCTGTTGCGCGAGCCCGTCAACGCATCTTGCTGACTCAGACGTACGAGACTGACCCGAGCTACGAAGCGGCCCTGATCACCGATGATAGCTACTCGCCTGCGAACGGTGAAGGCTTGGCCCCAGGGCGGTCACCATGCTTGACACCACGGCTCGTTCCTACGATGCCAAGCCCTGGCACTCCGTCGACGCTGATCGCCACGCCCGAACGTGTTGGACATAGTGACGGTTGCAACGACAATGTTACTGGCAGAACGCAAAGTCCTGTGCACGGGTGCTCCTCGAGCCCGTTGCTGCAGGCTCAGTCGTCGCCAATGTCGCTGGGTGTTGGTGGAAATTCTGGCCTTTGCGCATTAAGAGTGAATTGTGAGCGTGGCGTCTCAGCCGAAAATCAAACTGGCGTCAGATCGCGAAGTCCTGGTGGCGGGTGCTCCTCGAGCCCGCCCTCCCAGGCTCCACGAGTATCTTGCGAGGAGTTGTCTCATCTGTCCAGTGGCGTCAGAACGCAAAGTCCTGGGCTTGGGTGCTCCTCGAGCCCAATGCCCCAGGCTCGAGTAAATTGCGAGTTCAAGGTCCCCAGCTCCATGGTGTCGATGGCGGTGAGACGCTCCCGTCGTGGCTACCTTCTGCCGACGGCTCCTATTTCCCCGACCTCTACGCGCCCGCCCTGCTCTTCGCCGACCTTGCCAGGGCTTCCCCCTCGCTCGCCACGGGTTCTGACTGCTACTCCGCCGATGTCGTTTTCCATGGGTGCTTCGCGAATGGTGGCTCCCTCATCGTGCGTTTCCACGGGACGCCCGTCCTCGGCGACCCCGCGGGCTCAGAGGTTGTCTCCTGCCACTCCTCGTTCGGCGTCGAACACCCCTTCTCGCCCTGAGGCCGTTGCTGGAAAAGCCCATTACATGTTGCCTGTCTGTTTTACCTCCGCTGCTCGGCGCACCCCCCCCCCGCCCTGTCGCTTGCGACTTATTTGCCCGCCGCCTCCCCAGTGCCCCTCGCTCTGCGCACCGTCTCGCCTGCGCCGCCTGGCTTCCGTCCTCGTGTTGTCTCTCCCCCGTCCTTTCCTCGTTCGAGCTCTGCTGCTGCGTCTGCGTGCGCCCCTCCTGCTCCTCCTCTGAATAAAATGACGGCTCCTGCCCGCGCTTCATCTTCCACCAGATCTGCTGCTTCGGCATCAAGGCCAGGAGCGGCCTAGTGGGGGCGGGGATCCTGGCCTCTCTTACGCTGGTCTCCTCCTCCTCGACCTTCTCCTCCTCTTCCTCCGTTTCCGCCTTTCCCGCCTCCCTTCTCTTCCCTCTCCTCCTCCTCCTCCTCTTCCTCCTCCTCCTCCACCTCCTCCTCCTCCTCCTCCCCCTCCTCCTCCCTCCTCCTCCCTCCTCGTCCTCCTCCTCCTCCTCCTCCCCCTCCTCCCCCTCCTCCTCCTCCCCCTCCTCCTCCTCCTCCCCTCCTCCTCTCCTCCTCCTCCTCCTCCTCCTCCTCCTCCTCCTCCTCCTCCTCCTCTTCCTCTACCTCCTCCGTTTGGGGCGAATGCACAAGAAACCCTCCGCAGGCGCCGAAGTTTTGGCTTGTTCAGTAAAAGTAGTGTGGGTCGCGGGTGTGGGTCGCGGGCTCTCCACCTCCACTTGGAAGGAATTCAAAAACAGCCCGCCGCAGGCGCCGAAAATTTTGATTTGTACATTGAACGCGGTTTGGGTCGCAGGTTCTCCACCTGGAGTGCAAAGGAAACCCGCCGCAGGCGCCGAAGTTTAGGCTTGCTCAGTGAACGTAGTTTGGGTCGCGGGTGGGTCGCGGGCTCTCATTCGCCACCTGGAAGGAGTTCAAAAACAGACCGCCGCGGGCGCTGATAATTTTGATTGTTACACTGAACGCGGTTTGGGTCGCGGGTGGGTCGCAGGTTCTCAACCTGGAACGAATGCACAAGAAACCCGCCGCAGCCGCCGAAAATTTGTGGATGGTCGCGGGGTGGGTCGTGGGTGGGTCGTGGGTAGGTCGCGGTGGGTCGTGGTGTGGGTCGCGGGCGCGGTTTGGGTCGCGGGTGGGTCGCAGGTTCTCCACTTGGAACGACAGCAAAAGAAACCCGCCGCAGGCGCCGAACATTGCGGGTGGGTCGCTGGTGGGTCGCGGGTGGGTCGCCGGGGGGGTCTCGGGGTGGGTCGCGGGCGGGTCGCGGGGTGGGTCGCGGGTGGGTCGCGGGTGGGTCGCGGGTGGGTCGCAGGATGGGTCGCGGGCGGGTCGCGGGGTGGGTCGCGGGTGGGTCGCGGGTGGGTCGCGGGCGGGGTCGCGGGTGGGTCACGGGGCGGGTCGCGGGTGGGACGACGACAATAACAAACAACAAACAACAAACAACAAACAGCAAAAACAACAACAACAGCTACTACAACAACAGCAACAACAGTAAGTTTAACACTGTTCGCTCTGATCTGTTCGCGTGTCACTCAATATGTATATCCCAAACCCTGGATACCCGCCCTCTTCGTCTTCGATCGTGCTCCCTTTTAGGGGGGAAATTCATTCCCTGCCACGTGTGGTTGGTGAAGCCCTTGAAGACGAAGGGTAACAGATAACGGAGGAGAATGAGGACGAAGGGATCGGAGGAAAGGAGGGGAGGGGCAAGAGGGAGGGAGGACGATGATTTGCGCTGGGTGTGGCGATTTGGCTTGCGCCAGCCACTCCAACACAGGTTAAGAATCAGTTTCGCCATGGGTCGCGCCATCAACAGCGCCACGTACCACCCCCTTGAAAGAACATATCGTGGATACCCCCACGGGGGGGTGTAGAGCTGCGAACCGGTGTCAGAAACAAATTTCGCGGAACCCTGAAAACAAGCGGGATGTTGGGAGAGTGGGGCGGAAGGATAGTGAGAATTGCAACCGTGTCGAGAGGAGCGCGGAAGCCCCAAGTGAGAGCGCGATTCTTCAATAAATTGTAAGGAAGTATCAAGCGGGAGCCGCGATCCGGTGGTAAATTGCAAGGAAGTGCCAAGCGAGAGCGCGATTCTTCAATACATTTTGAGGAAGTATCAGGCGGGAGCCGCTGTTGTTGTAAACCGGGGGCCAACGACACAGTTTGACCCTCAAGACTTCCCCTGATAAAAAACAGGGTGCGAGCCCCGGGAAGGGCACTGAAATCAAAAAAACAACGCGCACCGGACGGGGGGATCAACAACTATTGTGCTTCACGAATGAAAGTTCAACGACAACAACAACAGCAACAGCAACAACAACAACAACACAAATCCGCATCGCGGAATTCCACTTCAGCCACGCACCCAGGACAGTGAATGACCGTTCGGTTCAGCCCCCTCACTATGTATATGTATAGGTATATGTATATATATATATATATATATATATATATATGTGTGTGTGTATCGCTTCCCCCGCCCTCACCTCATGGCGCCCCTTTTTCCTCCCTTCTGCTCCCTTGTGCCCTCCCTGCCCACCTTCCACGCTGCCGTCCCTCTTCCCGTTCTCCTCCTCCTCCTCATCATCATCAGCATCAGCATCAGCATCACCATCATGTTTCCCGTTTCCGCTCATTCTGCTCCTGTTTCTCATCAGGCTCTTCTTCCTCATCATGCTTATGATCATTAGCATTCTCCTTCTTCCTCCATCAATCACCCCCCTTTCATCCTCCCGTCCCTCTGCCCATGCACCTCGTCCTCCCGCCTCTCCTCGTCCTTCCCCCGACGGGCCAAGGAGGAGATGGAGGAGCTGAACGAGGATCTGGAGGCAGAGCGATCCATCGTCCAAGCCGGCGGAGACATCGCGAAGGCCACTGAGAAGAGGTTGGCCGCCCTCGACAGGGCCTACCGGGTCAGCCCGCGCCAGCAACTGCGGGATCTAGAGGCTGTTCCCTCCTCTGCATTACACTGCTGCTCCTCCCTCTATTCCCCTTGCACTTGCTTCTCCTCCTCCTCCTCCTCCTCCTCCTCCTCCTCCTTCTCCCCCTGCTCCTCTTCCTCCTCATCCTCCTGACTGTGCTGCCAGGGCCGGCACGGTCAGGTAAGGGGAACGGGCGGGATCTTGGAGCAGCAATCCTTGTGCGCATGTTTGGGGCCAATTTGGGGCAATTTTCCAGAGCGGGGATATCGATATGTTAAAACCAAGGCTCACTCCTCTCGGGCCGATAGGGGTGCTGGCTAGACCACAGAGTGGAAGCTTGCAGCGAACAAGTCAACAGATGAGTTGGCCAAGCGTGGTGCCTCCCTGCACGGCGCCGACGCAAATTTTGCGAGCTCTGCAAAGAGAGTACAGGTCTGTGCGCGCGAGGTGGCCGCGTGGGCCACGGTAACCCACACGCTCAGTCAAGGCCAAGACCACGAGGGGTTCATGGAGGTCTATTTGGCGGGCCGCTCAGCGTCCCTGGAGGGCGCTCCTCTAGGAGATGCGGCTGGCCCCGACCAGGAGCCTCCCGGGGATCCCGACGAGGAAGGGGGGGTTCGGGCCTGGATGAGAGGAGTTCGCGCACATGTCCCCTTGGTCGCGGAGGCACGGCCCCTTGCACTCCCGAATTTGGTCCGTCCTCTTCTGCTCGTGCTGCGGGGCTGTCAGCTCCGATGGTTAGCTCGCTCAGTGGCTCAGCGATTTCTGTAGCGGGCGCCCCGGTAATCGGGGAACCGAGCAGCTCAGGCGCAGAAGGTTGGGCCAGTCCTCCCACTACAGGTAGGGGGTCCCTGAGCCTGCGTCTCAGTCGGCCTTACGGCGTGTCTCCCAAGGCCCAATGGGGCCTTCAAGAGGAGGCCGCCGCCCAGCCCGTTCCGCCGCCGCCGAGCCTGTCTCAATGCACGTGGCGGCGAGGGGACTGGGAGGGGGAAAAAAGTCGTGTTCCGAGCGTTTGGCCGAACGGCCGACGATCGCCTAAGTGCGCAGATGCTGGGTCGTCTGGCGATCCGCTGTGCCTCTGCAGCGTCGGACTCCGAGTTTGATGAGTCCGACTACGAAGGCTTACCCTCATTAGTCACCTGCGTCGGGGCCAATCCAAGCCAAGCCCAGCGTTCTCCTCCCCCCCTCCTTTTTTATCCTATTCCTCCTCCTGCTCCTCCTTTCGTTCCTCTTCCTCCCCCTCGATTCGTTCTCTGGTAGACAAGTCCTCCCTGTCGCACCCCCGGACGCGTCGGTTGGGCGGCCCTGGCGCTTCGCAGGAGAACCCCCCACCGCTTATGACATTGAGGCGTGAGCCCTTGCAACCTTACATTGGTGTAGGAAAACGTTGGGGTGTTCGCCTTCGTCTCGCGCACATTCATTTATAACGCGGGCGAAGGGGAAGGGAGGTCAACATGGGGCGGCCCCTTCAGTTCCCCTTGGCAAAGGGCACGCGGGTGGAAAGGGGGTCGTTCTCAGAGTTGTGTTCTCGCCCTGCGCCGCGTGCCTTCGTTGTAAAAGCTTGCAACAGCTCAACAGATGGAGGTGGTCGTTTTCGAAACGACGTTATCGTGCCAGCGCCGCGCGCAATCGTACGAATCACAAGCTTCCCGCGCAGAGCAGCTCAGCAGCAGCAGCGGCGAAGCGGGACCTCTGCGGTCTCGGAGGGGCGGTCTCGGGCCCCCAGCTCATCCTGCGGGAGTCTCTTGTGGTTTTAGTTTCGAATCTAGAGAAAAATCGAACAAACAACAACAACAACAACAACAACAACCACCAACAACAACCACAACAACAACAACCACAACCAACAACAACAACAACAACAACAACCACAACAACAACAACAGCAACAGCAACAAAAACAACAACAACAAAAAATAACGCGACGGCAGGAAAATATGCAAGGGTTACGAGGATGGAGCGCGGTTCGCCCCAGCGCCAGGCACAGCAGTTTCATAAGTTGGCAACCGCGGCAGGGATGGGAAGGGGGTTCCTTTCAAGCGTGTGGCGCCCGCTGGAGACCTGACGAAGCTGACCGGCCGGATGGTGGACAAAACGCAACCACTGCACGGATGGGGAGCGGGCCGTCTTAAGGTCAAAGGCGTATATTTTGCCCACGGAGCCTTGTTATGGGTATTTCAGGGAGGTGTGCGTCCTTGCGGCGAGCGGCGCCCACAAATCAGGAAGAAAGGAGGGTGGATCCCTGTGGCGAGCGGCGCCCAGGAATCAAGGGTCGCCATCTTCGCGCGGGGGCAACAGGAGAGGGTGGGTCCCCGTGGCGGGGTCGCCATCTCCGCGCTGAGGCCACGGAGGAAAGGGGGTCCCCGTGGCGAGCGGCAGCCAGGAATCAAAGGCATGTCCTTGGCAAATTTTATGGTGACCCACGCGTCCGTGGGCCACCTGCCGCGCGCGCGCCGTATGGGAAACATATTGAGTGGCAGTGTGTCGCCTCATGTCGAACATGCGCGGCCCAAACTGCAAGTGAAACATTTGGCGTTTCTCAATAAATTTTCTGGTGACCCACCTGTCCGTGGGTCACCTGTTTCGCGCGCGGCGAATGGAAACAAACGTACCGAACGGCATTGCATCGATTCAGGTTGAGGCCCGACATGCAAGTTAAACCGCTGTTTTTTTTCTCAACGCGTTCTCTGGTGACCCACGCATCCGTGGGTCACTTGTCGTGCGCGCGCCGTGCGGGAAACGGATTGAGTGGCAACGCGTCGGTGGCTGTTTGGCGGGTCCGTGGTCGCCGTCGCCACCTCGTCGCCGCCTAGATTGTACAACATACGTTGTACTACATCAAATTGTACCACGTAGGTTGCACCACATATAGTCTCTTTTTTAAGAGAAAATTAACTCGACCCCTTCTCCCCCGAACTTATCGGCACCCGCTTGCGCATTGCAATTTACAGTTGATCCTGCCCCATCGTCCATCTTAAATATGAGCTCGTACCATCCCAGCCGAGCCGGCATCGCCCCCCTCCCTTCCCCCGCCACCCTCTGCAACAAATACTGTGCGCGCTCACTCGTTCATCAACAATAATCAGTTTTCAAATAATTCCCTTGCAAGACAACGCAACGAGGTGCACGCGCTCGCGTTGTCGCGCGCGCGTGCCGACATCCCTCAAAAATACCATCGGCCTCGTAAGGGTGTCAAAATCAATTCAAAAAAAAATACATGTTAGTCTTCTCTATATATATATAACGGTTCCGCACACGGATTTTCAAACAAAAAGAAATTTGCGCGCGCCATCTCGCGAATCCTTTAGACAACCACAATTGCTCCAATGCTTTCAGGAAGTGCTACCCAACGGGCTTCTCGCGCGCGCATGTCGAAATCGCTCGAACGCCCTTGCGCGCGTGCCGTCGCGAGAGCCCTGTGCAACAGATGGACGAAGTGCACGCGCGCGCGCGCCGTCGCGCGCGCATGCCGAAATCCCTGCGGTCCACTCGCGCGTCGGCCGCGCGCGCATGTCGACGTCCTTTAAAAATCTTCGTCGCCGACGCGAGGACGCCGCCGTCGTCGCCGCCGCGATCAGCATCGGCGCCCGCATTGACCGCGCCGTTGCTGTTGTCAGCATCGCCACCAGCATCGCCACTAGCATCGTCGCACACCGTCGTCGACGTTGCCATGATACCGCACCCGCCCAAGTCGCCGACTCGCACTGAAGTGCCCGCTGGAATGCGCCCAGCGGTCAGCGCCACCGCGGCCGCGTCGGTCGCGCCAGACCAGCTGGCCGCTGCGCGCGCTCGGGCTGGCGCGGCCGCAGAAATGCGCCAGCCAACGCCGAGCGCGCATCGCAATCGCCACCACGTAGGTCTTGCAAACCAAGGCGCGTCGGCCGCGCGCGCATGTCGAATCCCTTCCAAAACCTTCATCGCCGACGCGAGGGCGCTGTCATCGTCTCTGGCGTGATCCGCACGGGCGCCCGCGCTGGCTGCGTCTTCGCCGGTGTCAGCATCGTCTTCAGCAACGCTACTGTCATCATCGCGCCCGCCATTGTCGGCGCTGCCATGATACCGCGCCCGCCCAAGTCGTCGACCCGCAGCGAAGTGCCAACTGGGGCGCGCCCAGCGGTCAGCGCCGCCGCGGCCGCGTCGACGGCGCCAAACTAGCAGACCGCCGCGCGCGCCAGGGTCGGCGCGGCCGCAGAGATGCACCGGCCAACGCCAAGCACGCATCGCAATCGCCACCGCGCTGGTTTTGCAAGCCAAAGTGCGGGTGGGTGGGCGGGATGTTTACAAGAGCGTGGGATGCGTCAGTTAAAACCAATTGCGCCGCATAGATCGCACCGCGTTGATTACGCCACGTCGAGTGCACCACACATATTCTCTTTTCTTCATAGAGAACACCCTCGCCGGGATGATCCGCGCATTTTTTCTGTTGCGATTTACTTATGACCCTGCCCCATCGCCCATCCGAGATATAAGAATTCGCACCGCCCCAGGTCAGACGACATCGCCCCCGCCGCCATCATTTGCGAAAAATGCGATAGGCGAAGTGCAAGGAGTTCAAATCGAGCGCCCCCAGAAAATGTCAGATCACAGGGTCTCGCAACACGGATTCTTAATATACACTTGCGCGCGCTCCTGCGATGTCTTCAGAAAACCATCAGTTTTTCATCATTAAGAAGACACATCAAGAACACATGGCCCTGCAACGCCAGCTTGCTTAATAAACGTGCACCCGCGCTCTTTAAAGAGAAACATCGGTTCTTCAACATGTCGATGAAACTATGCCAAGCCAGTTTCTGGCGCCGCATGCCGACATCATTTGCGCGCCCCTGCGCGCGCGCGGGGGGGAAGGGGCGCGATCCGCGTCGCATACTTTGCGGGCCACTCTCGCGCGTCGGCCGCGCGCGGGCGCAGGTCGAACTCTCGACGCAACCTTCGCCGTCGTCGTCGTCGGCGCGATCGGCATCGGCGCCCGCGCTGGCCGCGCCGTCATCGCTGTCAACATCGCCACCAACATCGCTACTATCATC